GCAAAGCGCCGGGAGGGCTCTCCATTCACCTCCAGAATTTTGACTGCCCTCCTGCCCACATCATTACCCGGAGGTCTCGGTGGCACCAGGATGCTCTTCCAGGAGCACCCGTGACCTTCACCGAGGAGATGCCCACATTGGAGCGAGGGGCTCCAGGGACGGGGGGCGCAGCAACTGCCGTGGGGACAGTGCAAGAGAGCGGGCAGGACGCTCTCCAAACAATGGCAAGCAGGCAGCGGGCATCTGCCCGTCCCTTCTCCTTGCTATCAGGCTGTGACACACTCCACTCTGCGCCAGCTTTCCTCCCCAGGGATGCTCTGGTCCCCCGGGCAGCCGCACCGAGGAGTAAATGACCCCCACGTCACAGGCTGGCTTTCGGACATCATTGCTGGATGCTGCCCGCCCCTTCCCTGTGTGCCCTGGGCGCTCGGCTAGCAAAGCCCCGACTAAGTAAAACCTGGAACCGCATTTTCGCGGCCATTTTTCCCCCTTGCAGTTGTTCTCAATCCCCGTACATCCACCCTCTGCCTGGCAGAGGAGTCCCCAGCAGGTCCCCAAGCCCATCTCCGGAGGGATGCCCCCGGCAGCACGTGGTGGGCAGAGCAGAGCCAGGTCCCATGTCGCCCCCACCCAGCGCTGCTGCAGAGCCAGGCGAGCGGGAGGACGGCTGGGGGACACCCACCTCCCCGCCAGACCCAATCCCCCCCCGTCACTCACCATCTTCTGCAGCTCCTCGGCAGACTCCTGCACTCGCTCTCGGTCGTTGCTGTCCACCACGAAGATGAGACCCTGTGGGAAAAGCCAGGCTGGAGCGGGCAGCTCACACGGAAAAGAGGGGGACATCCCAGGTGGGCCGCAGGTACCCCCAAACCAAGGGGGAGAGCGGCCCCGCTGCCCACCCGCCCCCCCTGCAGAGCCCCAGCACCCGGGCAACCCCCCCCCGCCACCCCAGTGCTCCCAGGGGGGCCACCGCTCTGGGGACCGGGACACGCTCCCTGCCACCACTCACACACCCAGTTCAGGCCGGATCAGGCCACAAGCCCTGGGGAACCCCGGGCCAGCCCCATCGCAGCTGATGAAGTTTATCCCTGCCCCGATGCCGCGTACCTGCGTGTTTTGGAAGTAGTGTCTCCAGAGGGGTCGGATTTTGTCCTGGCCGCCCACATCCCAGACGGTGAAGCAAATGTTCTTGTACTCCACTGTCTCCACGTTGAACCCTGTGGGGAGGCAGGAGGGGCATGGGGAGAGGGTGCCCACCGCCTCTGGGTACAGCCGAGGAGAGTCTGGCTCCATCTTCTCTGCTCCCCCCACGAGGGATTTACACACATCCCCCCCGCGCCATCTCTTCTCCAGGCTGAGCAGCTCTCCCAGCCTGTCCCCCCTATGGGAGATGCTCCAATCCCTTCACCATCGCCGTGGCCCTGCACTGGACTCACTCCAGCGTGTCCCCATCTCTCCAGCACCGGGGAGCCCAGCGCCAGACCCAGCACCCCCAGGTGTCTCAGCAGAGCTGAGCAGAGGGGCAGGAGCTCCTCTGCCCACCCGCTCTCAGTGCTCTGCCCAGTGCAGCCCAGGGTCTGGTGGCCCCATGCCACAAGGGCACGTGCCCGGTGCTTGCTCAGGTTCCTTTCCATCAGGACCCCCAGGACCTTCTCCCCAGAGCTTCTCTCCAGCAGGAACCAGGGCCTGGGGCTGTTCCTCTCCAAGGGCAGGACTTGGCACTCCCCTGGTTGAACTCCACGAGGTTCCTCTGCCCGTTTCTCCAGCCTGCCCAGATCCCCCTGGACGGCAGCAAGACCCTCTGGTGCATAACCACTCCTCTTAGCGCGGGACTGTCCACAAACTTGCCGAGGGTGCTCTCCGCCCACCACTTCGGTCACTAATGATGATGTTCAGCAGCACTGGCCAGCGGCTGGCCACACGTAACGACCCTCTCC